GTGACGACTGTGAGCCCTGCATCTGCACAAGCAGTTTCCTCAGCACGGCAGAGCTAGGCTGAGGGAGTAAAATCTACAAAAATCCCTGTGCACAGGAAAATAAAAGAGCTCTGGTGCGAGCAATCTGCAAGGCTTTGTATGAAGACACTGTTTTGCAACATCAGAGGAAGTTCGCTCTCATTGATAAGGTGGCGGTTGGTAAACCATCTCACCACTAAAAAACTCCAAGAGTGAAAGGGAAATCCCCAGGGTAAAGCAGAGCTGAAGCAAATGCCAATTATAAAGGACCTTCCTCACTTGCATAGCCAATCAGGTCATCAGAACACTGGAAAGGAAACTTGAATTTAAAAATATATTATCTGGTTTGCAACACTGGAGCCAAGGGGCAACCACATTTTATTTATATGTGCATACAAATATATTTAAATAGAACCAGGGGGTTATTTTTCTCAAGAATATGCAAGATTTTAGCCCCCATAACTCCCTTGAAGGCACAGTTCCCACTTGTAGTACAGCACTGTGTAGAGTTGCCCAAAAATAATTGGAGATATCAGTTTGCCTATAAAACAAAGTGGGTTTTCATCCAACTCAAGAATTCATTATTTCCACTAGACTCCATATCTCAAACTACTTGAGCGGGGTGTGTGTGTGAAAGGGTTAACAGTCCCAGTGACTTTATCAAAGATCAAGACCGGGGAATTTCTAGAAGATCTGCACGCTGCAACATGATTTTCTACCCTCCTGAATCTATTTGGCTTCCCTCATCACCTGACAAACTTTTAGATGGTATTTAATGGCACAGGAATCACCTATTGCTGTTGACTAGGATTCAGCTATTAGTTTAAGGCTGTAGCTGAAACGCTGAAAGGAAACTCTCCTTTACACAAAGCAAATCTCAATGTTCACAGAAGTTAGCAAAATTTTGGTAGCACTTCTTGGGAGAGAGACTGAAAAAAAGGTTCATCTGAAATTTAGCTAACAAAGCTGGTTGCACTTGTTTGGAGACTAGCTGCTCATCACTTAAATTCTCTTGTAAATACACTAAATAAATGTACTTGAAATTAAATTAAATAAAGCATAGCCACCAAATTTATCAGTTCAAATCTTTGAATGTGCAGCAAATGAAACAATAAACAATTCAGGCAGTTATGTCACTACTCTTCCTGGAGGCAGTAGGGCTTCATCAGTGGTCTTAATATCTTTCCTGTACTGTGTAAGAAAGAAACAAAAACTAACAGGCTTGCCACTGCCACTATACTTGCAGAAATACTCCTGATGTACTGGAAAAGGAAGGGAAAAAATGAAGCCGACAACCATAAAATTTCTCAGACTAATGATAAACTCGAAATTTCTTGTGCCTTATGGGATTATATAAACTGCAGAAGTGTCAGTAATCAAACTGCCTCCAAAAATCATACAACCAGCTACCCTCTGGTTTTCTCATGACTATCAATCACTACTTGAGCTACCTTTCATAATTTTGCCTTTCCATTTCCTAACTTTTATGGGGGAATAGTATCATCACGTGTAGTCCACAAGGGCTTACTCGTGACAAAATGTCACTTGTGGAAATGAAGAATCCCTTCTCTGGAGGAACGTATAAATGACATTTTATCCTATGTATTCTATAAAAAACACAATAAATCCAATGATCTTTTTATTGCTTATAGGGGCCTAGAAGAGAGAGGCAGTATCTTTTACATCATACAATCAGTCTGTAACAAGATTGGAAAGATAACGGTGATGTGATCGTAAAGACAGGCTATGCTTACATGTACAGTAATCAATTTGTTTCCCCTCCTATCACCCAGTCAAGGCTAAAACACTGAAGTCTTGTTATGACCGTGCTCCCTGTGATACTGCTTTCTCTGCTGACTGAAGCAGGAACACGAGCAACACAGCCTAAACATGTACAAGTCTTGAATTGTTCTGTTTCCTGTTAAAGACTCGGATGAAGACAGAGACTTAAAATTACCAGAAAACAGTGGAGGATGGACATGAAGTATTGTCAGACATGTTTACTTTGATCCACGCCCAAAATGTTCAGTGGTTAATGGATTATCAACCTGTCTTAGACCCAAGCAAAAAATAAAATATTGAAAACACTTTCCCCTGAGTAGCAGAATAATGCTCGTGATGTAGCCCGGTGGGTTGGCTTGCTGCCCTGATAAAAACTACTGGGAAAAACAAATGAACCAAACAAAAAAAAGGTTAAAATTACAGAATTTAAGTAGCTAAGGAAGTTATTGCCTAAAGTGAATAGCAAGCTAGATTCAGGCATCTGAGAAATTTTCTAGTAAGTACTCCTTTGGACTGTTGAGCACAAAATTTAAAAAATAAAATAAAAAACCCCAAAGCCTTAGTTTATATTGCTCTTTTTCACTGAGCCTTGCAAAATGGAGGCGGAAGTGTTTTAGTGCAATCTTTACTAGGAATACTGAAAATTAAAATAAAAACAAATAAGATTTTCCTCATTCAACCAAAGTAAATTACTCAGCCCTAAATTGAACAGAAGTGGATTAAAAAAAAAACCAGTTAAATACGTTAATAAGCACTTTCTGCGTGAAGAGACCTCTAGTTAGAATTTCACCCTTATTTTCTGCTCAACTTTTCAACCATGCCTGACTGGTCCTGATTAGCCAGCTGCACTGCTAAACCCCAGGTCAAACCCATAGGCAATCAACAGGATAACATCTTTGTCCTGGGCTACAGCTTCTTTTGAGCAGGTTGGCCAAGCTCAACTGCAATTTGCTTAGCAGTTCACCTGCCGTGCTGGCTACCACTCTGGAAGGAATTGAAATTCTGTTCATTAGCCTCCTCTAAAGGGAGTGACATTTAAACAATCCTAGCGTCCAGCCAGTGTGCCCTCCTAATTCCCTCCAGAGCATTGGAGTAATTTAGTTCATTTCAACCAACTCTTCAGGGTTTCAAGGATATTGAATTCCCAGAATCTTAGGAAAAAAATATTAGGGAACTGGGTGGAGACAAAACACTTAAAAGAATACACCACTGGAGGGAAACTGCCATCTGAGTTATCTGTTATGCCAAGCCCCATGGCAAGCAGGGTGGGCAACAGACGTGTGCTTCAGAGGCAGCCAGAGCTTGTCTTACCTCTTTCTGAACTGGAAGTATGAGGGGGAGAAATTGGCAATACTTAGGAGAAAAGCAGAGCGGTCACAGGGACCACAAGGCAGAAGCTGGTGCTACTGAAGTGTGTGGGCAGGGGAAAAGCGGTAGACACAGATCCACAGGAAGCCAGGGCTGATAGTTCTGCTGTTAGGAAACAGCTTGGCTAAGCACAGGAGTGGCTCAGACTAGCTGAAATCAGTTATCCAACCTCAGGGTTCACACCTTGACCACTACCAGGTACTTCTAAATCGGTACATCTTCCTCAGAAAGGCAGCTGTGGAATAATTGGTCCCCTGGAAGTTCATTCAAGTTGCTTTACAAGTCAAAGTCTCGGACCATGCTACATATCCTGATGTTGTAGTACTGACATTCTCCTCATTCATTTCAATTTCTGAAATTCAGGAGCCTTCTATTAATGAAAAGGAAACCAACAGAGTTGAGAAGATAAAGGATTTGGGGGGGGATAACCCCAGAGGTAAATGTACATCCTACAAAAGATCTCACAGGTACAATCTGTGTGTGTAATGTATGGAAAAAAATTTTTAAAATTGCTTTATCGTACCTTCATGCCCCCAACAGAGGAAAGGAAAAATTGTCTTTTCCTCTTTTAAAATGTTATCAGCAACACACTCCACTTACACAGTGCTTAGAACAAATTAAAATAAATCTGCTCACTACAAACCAGAGACACAAATTTCCATGCAGATTTAAGTATCCCCAAGAAGTCACCCTGAAAGCTGGGGGCTATGTTCCCCTGGGACGGCAATTAGTCAGGATAAGATTGTGCAGAACACTTTGGTCCTTGCTCCAGAAGCACGCTGCAAAGCTACCACACAACTTGCTCAAGCACCAGAGAGCATGAAACCCATTCCCGAGTTTTTAGCCAGTAGCGCTGATGCCCAGAATATACAAAGCAACTTTGAAATAAGTTTGCCTCCCTCACTGATGAAAGTATTCAACAAAAGCATTTCAATTGCACAGTACCTGTTTTTCTGGGTCACTCCTGCTAACACACGCATTTGTATGCATAGTTTAGAAATCTTTAATTGTGAAGCACATGTAAATTTGTATAATTAGAATAATATCATGTAATTTTACACAACAGTTGCAAAATCAGTTGCTGATGTCTTTCACTTTCTGCCCTGCTGGTTACAGCTGTCAGGCAGGCAGGCAGCACTAACGAGCATAATGGAACAGGGGCCCGGTGAGGTTGCGAGATCTCCTTCATTAAGAGACACTCAAAAGCTTGGCTGGACAAGGTCCTGAGCAACCTGCTCTAACTGGACAGGGGTTTGAGCAGGACAGACCAGATGGTCTCCGGAGGTCCCTTCCAACCTACATTATTCTATGGTTCTGTGATAGTCAAACTTCTCCTGTCAGACACCAAGCAAGCAACCCCCAAAATTTCTCTCACAACTAGGTACTTCCTGCATATACCTGCACTTAAATGGCTCCCAGACGAACTAACGGCCAACTTTATCAGCTACGTTTGTTAACATTAACAAATTGACCAAACAGTCTGTCACTGTGGCATACAGCAGCAGCAGATCCACTACCAGGAGACCGGGTTTCGTTTTGCCCTAGACTCGACCGTGGGTGGGTGCTTGCTGCTACATGGGCGTACTGATGTTTGGAGCAGTTTTCACTTCTGCCAAGCACTTAGGGGAACAAAGCTGGGATCTACAGTTGAAATAACTGAGTAGTACTGTAATTCAAACAAAATGGAGCAAAAAACCAAAAAAACAAATAAAAGATGTATGCAATAGTAATGAAAGCCAAAGGGAGTTCTGCTGATCACAGAACTTACATAGACGCAATCTCAAAGACAAACCTGGTTCAGAATTTCCATCTATAAATACAACCAATCCCACCTGTCGTTCTTCCTCAAGACGTATTCTCTCCTCTTCTTTCCGCCTTTCCTCCTCTCTTTTTGACTCAAGTTTTTTCCGTTCTTCTCGCTCTGCTTCTTCAGCCTAAAAAAAACATTATGCAAGCCAAGCCTTACTCCTCCTGAATATATATTTTTTAATTTCATATTGTGATACCATGGGCGGGTTTCTTACTGTCTTCCTAGATGCACGTTCAGAAAGCAACAGTAAAGAGAATAACTCATTAACCCCCCCCCCCCGCTCTTCAGCACACTTAACATTGTGGTAAGTTTAGAAATTACCCTTCTCATTTGCCTTATCTGGATCTCAATAAGGGTTTAAGTTTCGAATGTGCATATGAGCTTATTACTATAGTAATACCAAGTATCAATATCATGGCATTCCATTTCTCCTCACTTAAAATTTAGTTAGAATGGACTATAAGGAGAGGAAAAAAAGGAGAGGGGAATATAAACTCTGTAAAACCAAGTACATTCAAATTTATCATTAACCTGGGCAGACTCTCTTAAAGAAAAAGCTGTCCTGGTGTCCTGGTTTCGGAAGGGATAGAGTTAATTTCCTTCCTAGTAGCTGGTACAGTGCTGTGTTTTGGATTTAGGATGAGAACAATGTTGATAACACACCGATGATGGCAAAAGGAGCAGATGATCTGTGGGCCAATTTCCCTTCTGCTTAGAGCCTGCAATGGTCGTTTACCATTCATCACCCTAAGGACAAATTCTAGCAGTGACAGGTACACATTTTTGCCAAACCTGACTTTTTTCCCCATTTCATTTAATACGTTTCCCCAACCAGCAGATATTGCATTTGTGGGGAAGGGGGGAAAAATCAGTATTAACATCTGCGGAGCCCAGGTACGGACAAAGGTTCATTGAGCTTTGGACCGAGACCAGCAGATGCCATCTCTGCAGTTCTCCTTGCCAGGGGAGGGTTTCCCAGCCCCTGCCCTGGGAAACAGAGAGACGGGGGATCCAGGAGAGGAGCAGGTGGTGGCTTACAGAGCATCCTGAAAGGCATTCACCTGGGGTAATTAATCAATATCTAATATCGCCGTGGCATCTCCTTGGCGAACCCAAGTATGCTTTAAAATCTAAAACACCCGTGGGAGCGGAATTGCCAGTTGGTTGCTGGTTTCCAGCTGGTTCATTTTCATTGCTCTGGTTGCAATGTTTTGTGCATGTTTTGAAGCACCTGTGGCACAGGAGGGAACAATGGTGCCAGCCCTTGCACCCTTGCAGCAGCTCCACAGCAGCCGTGTGGTGCTCAGTTGCCGGCTGGGGTTAAACCATGACAACTGGTCTCTTCAAATAATTTTATTATTTGTTTTTAAACCAAACCTAGCAAAGAGATTGTTGCAAAATGGGGAAAAAATTAAAAGGGGGTTTAGTGTATTGTTTAGAGGTTTTTTTTGAAGTTCTTCTTCAGACTCCAGTATACCTAAATTTGACAATATATAAAAAGAACAAGCAGAAGACATTCAAATGGAGGAGTTGTGACTTAGAATGTTTCAGAGAAAGAGACCTAACCCAGGAATTTATCTGTCTACGTGGGAGAATAAAAATCAGCATGTTTTAAAATGAAACAAAAGATTCCTCAACTCCACCAACCGATGCTTATCTAACTTTATTCAACTTTGCTCAAATTTTCCACAAAAAAGAGGCTAATTAAATAGAATGAATATGGAAAGTAATGACAAAATGGTTAAAGCACAGAGTGAGAAAAGGATCGTAATGGAAGTTTATACATAACATAATAATCAAGTTTATTACCAACCGCCCTGTCTACAGGGCATACCACTACAGTGTAAAGTGGAAACTGGATTTAAACCTCAGGTGACACTAAAATTCTCAAGATGGGATTTCACTGGCTGTGTTTGCACCCTCTACACATTAGAAATGTTAGTAGTTTCATAAACCCTGTCTTTTTGTAAAACGTGTGAAGTCTACCGTGCACTCCAGCATAACAGAGGCTGTTTAAGTTTTATCTACTTCTTGCAACCCCACGTTCCAAGTCACAGAACAATACAGAGTTTGCAAAAAAAACATGTAGAACAACTAAAAGGAATTAATGCTTAACCTGCTGCCATCCCCAAGCACACTTCAGAAAGTAAGTTTCAAAAAGCCTGTTGCTTCCCCGGAATTAACAGCAACATGCTGGGCAAAACTGAAAAAATGCAACAGTATTATTTGAATAAGTACTTTTACACACAGATTTAAGAAAGAACAACTGAAGCTACAGTTGGGCAAAACTGAAAAAATGCAACAGTATTTAAATAAGTACTTTTACACACAGATTTAAGAAAGAACAACTGAAAAGCTACAGTGTGTTCGCTCTGTATACTTTGCCTCTGTTTAAGGGCCAAACTTCAACCAAAATCTGACTGCATCGTAGACTTCAGTGGATTACGGGGTCTGCTTTTCATCTCCCCCAATCCATAAAAACAATAAACATGGCTAAACATAGCTAAGCCCATACAAAGTTTTTGCACTATGAGAGCACATGAAACACTACTCAGAACTGCCCACAGTTTTGGTCACAGAGCCAGTGTTAAAACAATGCTACGTGGGCTTGAGTGTATTTTTAAGAGGAGACAGTACTGACATTAAGCCGCAAGCCAGTGGAAACATCCAATAAAGAGCATTCAAGAGTTTAACTCCTCTCTCCTCCCCGTGAGAATGCCAGAGAACCTAACGGAAAGAAAACGAGACACCATTTTCCATGGTCCTCTTGGGATATGACATAAAAAGCTGAATTTACATTTTTGAAAACAAAAACACAACTGTTGCAGTGATGACACTGCCTTTGCCTTTCTGGGGTGTCTGTCACCACCAGTTCTTTAGTGAGTACTGCTATTCAGGCTCTGCTCTGGGCTCTATACGTGGCAGGAAACGCTTACCTCTCTCTGTGCTTTTCTGGCTTGTTTCTCTTCTAATTTCCTCTGCTTCTTTGCCCCGATTTTCCCAGACACCTGAAATTCTGGCACCTCCTCAGCATCATCTTCCTCTGCAACATTGCGAAAATGACAAATTTTAAATCGTCTGCAAAAAGTCCCTTCGAGAAACTTCACTGCTTCCTAGGAAGGCAGCAGCAGATGAAAAGGAGACACACATACGTTTCAGACAAGACCTATTAGATGGAAAAAGGAAGAAAAAAAAAAAAAAAATCACACAAGACTGCCAAAGCCACAGAGTAGAAGTAACAAGGCAAACACAGGCTCAGGTGAAGCCAGAAGTAAAAATTTACTTGATCTTTTGAAGAAGGCTTTTCATAAACGTTTCCTGCTTTCCACAATCAAAAGATATACTTTCTCTTATACATAAAATGCGCTAATGGTTGTCATTATATAACTGCTCACTCACCTGCAGAGACTTTCTACTCAGTCACCTTTAAACTTAGCACAGCAGACATCCATTCAAAAGTGGGATTCAGAGGCTCATCCACTAGTTCTAGCCCGATAGAACTAACCTTTAAGGGAGGGAGGGGGGAAAAAAAAAAAATCCCTGCAATGCAAACCGTGGGCTTGACTGCAACAAAACTACATGTAAATAGTTCCCTGTTGTACAATTGGTTGTTTATAAAGATGATTTCTGCAACTGTGAAATATGAAAGCGTCATGCTCAAATGGTGTGCAAATGCATTATATTTCTGCTCACCCAGGGGCTAAGTAAGACTAAAGAGCTTTTAAAGACTGCCATTTCCTCCCCCCCCCCCCCCCCCCCCCCCCCCACC